ATAATAATAATTACAGTAGATAATAAGCTGATATAAAGAATAGTCTTTTCTGATAATGACAATAATAACAGTAAATAACAAACAGTAGTATTTTCTGATAATAATAATTATAACTAGAATAAACAGTAGTATTTTTTGATAATAATAATTACAGTAGATAATAAACTGATAATAAGGAATAGTATTTTCTGATAATGATAATTACCACTGGAATATACAGTAGTATTTTCTATTTATTGTAAAAAAATTTAGTAAATCAGTTATTATCAAATTGGTTCATTTTTATCTCTCACTGAAATTTGAAATTGTTACGATTATTTAATTTCTCAAAAAAAAAATTTCTAAATTATTTAACAAGAAAAAAAATGAATTAATCGATATGAACAATTACTTTAATTTATTTTATTCCGATTATACAATTAAATTCTTGCAATTATTGCAACTAATACAAATAAATTTTTATTTAATTTCGTCTAATTTATTTACAATTTACAATAAATTTTATTATTTTTAAGAATAAAATTTCATATATAAATTGATAAGAATTTAAATCGAAAATTTATTTTTCAAATAAACAAAAAATGAAAATTTATCCTTTTTTCTTTTTGTACTTTATTTCTTCATAGTTTAAATTTAATTTACATCCGTTTATATGCTTAATGTTTATGTTTATGTTTATTATAGTCTGATTTAGTTTTTTTTTTTAAACAATTAAATTTTCTAAAATGCACGTCATAACCTAATTTATAATTTATCCACATATGTATGGTATTTATGTCATTGTTTAAATTTAACTTTTCAAAGAATACATGCATCATTGAGTAATTCATCCATTCAATCCGACGAAAAAAAAATGCCAAAATTTCAAATTTACAAATATTAAAAAATTATTTTTAAAAAAAAAATAAAATAAAATAAAAAATAAAATAAAATAAAATAAAAAAGAAATCATTTCCTTTTTTCTTTTCTCTTTTACTTTCCTATCATTGCATCATTATCAATGATATATCATTCCATTCTTTTTCGTCTCTTAGCCTTCATCAACCTTTTCATTTGTAGTTTTAACCACAAAACTCATAAATAAAAAAAAAAAAAAAGAACGAAGCTTTTGCTGCTTTTTCAATAATCCTTCGCTTTTGCTCATTCACCAGCCGACGAAACTTTTCTTCCCTTACCAATCTGTCAATGATAAGTTTTATTTAATAATTTTGTTTTGAATTTTAAATTCGATAATTTAATTAATTGTATTAATTAGTAAAATTTAAACAACTGGAGCTATTTACATATTGTCTATAATTTGACTTATCTCTTGCCAATCTGATAATGATAAGTTTTATTTAATAATTTTGTTTTGAATCTTAAATTCAATTATTTAATTAATTATATTAATTGGTAAGAGCTAAACAACTGGAACTATTCACGTATTGCTTATAATTTAATTTATCTTTTTTTGCAATTTGATAATGATAAGTTTTATTTAATAATTTTGTTTTGAATCTTAAATTCGATAATTTAATTAATTATATTAATTAGTAAAATTTAAACAATTGGAGCAATTTGCATACTGTCTATAATTTCGTTTATTAATATGATTTGTGTGAATATGATATGATTAAAATTGTAAAGCTTTTAGAGGTAATTAATTTTTTAAATTCGATATTAAATTTGATTTAATTTCAAATTTAACTAATTTAATTAATTTTGGTAATTGATAAAAGTTAAACTGAGCTGAAACTATTCACACATTACCTGTGATTTAATTACTTTCAATTATTATTGTTAACATTATGATAAGTAAATCAAAATATTGAATTTTCGCAACAATCAAACTTTTTTTCTTTTCGAAAACGAATATTAAATTTTAATTAATTTATAATTTCACTTAAATTTGCATTTAAAAAAAAAAAAAATACTGCTAGTTGTTACATTTATCGTATAGGAATATGTGAATTGACGAACAAATAGCGCTTAATGTTTGTTATTAATTTGAATAAATTTAATTTTCGTGTTTTGTTTTTTTTTTCTTTTTTTAGCATTCCCGAGAAATTTATCTTAGAATTGATGTTTGTTTATGGCAATTCACAAGAAAAATATTCCGCCGGAAATTTCCCAATCAATATCCGGACGAATTGATAAAGTATTCCGGTAGGGAAAGAAAAGAAATTTTATATGTGGCGGTAATGTGGCATGAAACGTCAAAATATTCGTACGCTATCGTTAATTGTTTGTACATTAACATATTTAGTAATTGGTGCGGCTGTTTTTGATGCATTAGAATCTGATAACGAAATG